GTACTGAACTTGCATGCAGAAAACTTGAGTAAAGTCTAGGTTTTTTTTTGAAATAGTTTTTAAGGCTATTCCATGGAATCATGTTTAATTCAATCAAATAAATACAGAATACAAATAAAATATTATTTTTGAAAATTTTGGAAATTAAATGAAAAGAAAAAACTTTAGTTATATGCTAGGATCATCCACAGAAGAATATATATATATATATATATATATATATATATACATGTGTGTGTGTGAAATTTAAGTTGGATGTAATCATGTTTTTGATTTTCGTAAGAGAAATGTTGAAATCTATAAAAATTATATTTAAAAGATAAATACTGTTTAAGGTAAAATAATATAAAAGCTGAAATTGAAAACTTTGACTAAGATAGGTTCTTTTAAGATTATATAAAAAGTTAAAATATTACAAACATATATCATAAAAATTGAAAATGATATAAATTTAAAATTTTCATAACAAAGAATCTCATTTTCCAACTTTGAATCTATGTAATATATATATATATATATATATATATATATATGAATATTTATAATTATATAACTAAATATCTATATTTTATGTATTTATATGCTTTGAAATGATTTTTTTTCTTATGTAAAATTTTCTATTGAAAAATTCAAATTCCTCATGACAATCAAATTTTAGAAACTTATAGTCTTAATTATAGAAACTATATATATATACAATCTTTCTTTTACAGTTTTTAATATCTAATAGCGGGCATCTATATTTCAAAAGCATTTTTTGTTTGTTATTATTTTGTTATTGTTTCTTATTTCTTTTCTTTTCTTTTCTTTTCTAAGGAATTAAGTATGTTTTAATCCCTAAACCCTAAACCCTAAACCTGATTCAAATATTTTAAATTTTAATAGAAAATGATTTTATATTTTTAGTCTTTTTTTCTTCTTTTTTCCTTCTTTGTGCATTAATAATTTCAATGTTTAACTATAAGCTGATTGAGTTGAAACTCAATGTTTAACTTTAAAACTGCTTTCATACTTGGGGTTAATAACACTGATTAACAACTATTTTTACTTTTTGCTTCTTATATCATAGATTTAATGCATGAAAGTTATTGTGATTATTTAAAAAAAAAAATATATATATATATATATATATATATACGAGTTTAATTTATTCTTTTCTTCTATAATGAAGATTAATTTTCTTTATTTATCATGTTGGTTTATACATAACTCAAACATAACTCTTATTGATATGTAAGCAGTTGTGAAATTTGAGCATACCATACCTCTATGAGGTAATACAATGATAAGTTGAGTATTTTCCTGCATATAAAGTAACAGATTACCAATAAAAAGAGAGCAATACAAACTAACAATAGATGGCAATATTAAAGTAAGAGGTCCTTTTGAAGGTGACGATTCTTCTTGATAGACAATGTACTAAAATAATTATTAATATATTACGATAGACTTTGAATCAATGAGATTTATGGTTTAGCAATTCTTTTTGAAAAAAAAAAATTATAACATAGATTTACATTGAAAATGTATGTAGAAAATTAAATCAATATAGTTATGTTTTATGATATTTACAAATACTTTAAGTAAAAAGAGTATATTTAATTTTTACAGTATATTTGAACTTAAAATAAAATTATGTAATAAGAATCTATACACCATTTCGAATTAAATATATAATGACATAAAAAACCCAGCAAATCAAATGTATACTAATGTTTAGTGTAGATTTTAATGTTATTTATACTAGAATCGTTTTTATTCTAAATACTTACAGGTATTCCATTTTTTCTTAATCTGATAATTCGTAAATTAATGTGAGTAACAGAATAAATTATAAGTTTTTATTGACTACATGTGGTTCCAATAAACCTAAATATGATGCATGATACTACTCATGTTTATATTTACACAGAATATATATATATATATATATATATATTAAAGTTTATATTAACCACAACTTATTGATAATTAATTGATTGTAATAATGTAAGATGAATATAATAAAAGAGAATAAATCATGTAAAACACAATACCTTTAGAATATGTTATTTTGATCATCATTAAGTTTATACAACTTAAAGAATGAATTGTAATGTAAATACAATTGAAATATTGGAATGTAAAGATGTTTAAACATGTACAATATGATATGTCAATACATATATATATATATATATATACACACATACATGATCAATGACTTAAAACAATGAGAATAGACTTGTTCCATGATTTATCAAAAACTATTAATTAGGACGAGAGTTGCATACAATAACAAGTAAGGCTACTAGCATGCAATAAACTTTTGTTTCAAGTGCCCATTACATCTAACAAGGCACATGTTTTTCCTAAAATGTACCATTTTAAAAACCCACAATTTCCAAGTGTTTTTTAAATTACCTTAGTCATGGAAATATTTCCAAAACAGCTCTAAGTAAAATAATAATAATAATAATAATAACAATAGAAGTGAAAAAAAAAAAAAAGTTGACATATCTTTGTGTTTAGGATAGTTATACACAACTTTTTCATGGTACGAATATCTTTCATTCATTGAGATCCAGTCCTCAATATGTACTAACATGAACAACTTACCACAACCCATGCACTACAAAGGGAGCATTAGTCTACATATATTTTGTGGCTCTATGCAAAGATTCATACCTTTGAGTAAGACAAAAGTGGTTTATCCATGTGCATAAAATATAAAAAATTGCAAATTTTCAAAGACAAAAGGGAAGAAAAGTGGGGGTCATTTTCAAGCTAAATATTGTGGTGGTTCAAACAGAGGCTCGGGATGTAACTCCTCTTGTTGGATTCCTTTACTCTCAGCAATGGCTTAGTTTGAGGAACACAAGGGTACATTATGCCTTCCCACTCAAGACATTGAACCCAGGGTACACCTCCATACAATATAGAAAGTAAATGGTCCATTTCAACCACGAATGGTATACAGCCATTATTGTACCGTATGAGGTGAGCCCCACTATTCACAAGCACTAAACCTGGCAACACAAAATCACAAGCAAATCCGCAGGTCAAATTAAGCTTTTTGCAACCTCCTCCCACAACAGCCAATTCCCTCTTAAAACCTCAAAAACAAACAAGAGAAAAAAACAGAAAAAAAGAAAAAAAGAAAAACAGTACCCAAATCTCCGCAAAGTTTCCATCTGATTACAATTGGAATGGCATGGCCACTGGGGCTTTGCTTTTTTCCATTTCAAATATCTACAGGAGCAGTACAAAGTCCAGGTTAATGAGCCATAACAACAGAGCATGGGTAAAATTTATAAAAAGAAAAGAAAAAAGGTTAGATTTTGCATGCCTTTTATTTTTGCTCATGTTTGTATTTTAGGGTTGCCATTTTATTTTTATTTTTATTTTTTTGAGTTTCTCCTGTTTTGTTTTTTAGGTAGATGTTTGTTGTGGTGGAACAAGTGTCAGAGTGTTGCTCATGCTGAACGCCATGTCAGAGTGCTTTGGGATTCAATGGGATCTGCAAACTGTTTATCTGCAATTGTTTTAGCTGCTACTACTGCTTTGACCAGACCCTTGTTGGTGCCAAGCAAGGCTTTCATTTGCCCCCTCCTCTCCTCCTCCCTATGGCCCTATGAGCTCCACACAATGTGTTTTTGAACCCTGGTTCCTAGAAACAGGAATTAGCCATAGGAAGATGATATGCAACAGAAAGAGGAAATGGGTTTTTGCTTCTAAAAATGGCCACCAGATTAGAACAGGACAGTGAGTGGCTCAACCCTCACAGCACATGCAGGCTCTGTGCATCACCTTCCTTCTTTCTTGAGCTCTACCAATACACTACACAATACAAAAATTGGGTATTATACTGGTTTAGTTAAACATGAGTTCCAGTACACTACCTCCCTCAATATCCCCTTCCCCTCCCTTCTAGCTTGCTGAGTGAGCTTCACACCCTCCAGCTGATATCCTGTTTTGTGTCCCATGAGCACAGAATATGAGTGATGCAATGCACTCCTTTTATATATCCAATTATTGATATGAATATATGGGAATGGGTTCCTTAGTTTATGGGTAGTTGCAGTACTGATACACAAGCATGCTGTATGTGTGTCAACTTAATTCTGGTTTGTTTTTGTGCACCATGCTGGAATGGGGGGGGGGACTTGATAGGTTGTATGATATGGTTCTGGCTGATGCTGGGCCTGTGGAGAAATTGATTGTGTTTGGGTTTCATGTCTAATCTCCACAGTACCCCCACCCCACATTTTTGCAATTTTCTTTTATACTCCTGGTCATCAGTACAACACATGTGGAAGTGGAGTGGTACCTTCTATTTTGGTTTAGTTTTTAATTATTCATCTATCTATTTTTTAAAACTTTAATGCTTAATTCACATGTATTGTATAACAAATTCCTCATCATACTGATTACAACCCACACGGTGCTCTCCAGTACATGTGTCCATTACCACCAAACCTGTGTAGGCACATACAAAATCCAACTATGAACTGATAAAGAAATGAAACAAAAAGCAACAGAAAACTGGAAGAATAAGTAAGTTTGGAGGATATCCAACATGTACTGTTTTTCTGCAGAAAGTTAGTATGGATTGTAGAAACTTTAGGAAAACAGCGAAGGAAAAGGAAAAGTGACCCAGAGTATGAAACGAGTTTCTGTGCAAGTTATTTTTAGAGGAAAGCATGAGCACTGACTGACAAAAGCATTTTTGCAAGGCTAATTTGAAGGCTCTATCTACTACATCCACAGACTTCATCCAAAGCTAGAGGACCCATAAAATAACCTCCTCCACTACGGCCACGATCATGAGACGACGTAACAGTACCAGCCACACAATTCACATAACAACGGCACCATGGCTTCGCAGATTCCCTGTCTGCTTGCTTGGGTGAAAACGGTTTCATCGCGGTGAAAAGCTGCGAGGAATTCTTGTGCAAGTGTGGGGAAGGGGTGGGTAGTAGTAGTAGTAGGCTGCTTCATGCACGTGTATGCTCAGATCATATATATGGAAGTGTGCAGGGTGAGGGAGCTAGAGAGGTAGACGGCCGTGGAAAGGCTGCGACAGCTGATTTGATCATGCATCACCCGGTCGGTGTGAAGACTGCCGTATCATTGCATTTGCAGCAGAATTGGCAGAATCATCATATTCAGCCTGAGGCCGGGGGAGAATGTGTGTGTGTGTGTGTGTCTGTGTAGGTGTTCGTATGAGAGAGAGTGAGAGTGAGGAGGTGAGGCATTAATTTTGCGTTGCGCAGGAGAGTGAAACGTGCGACGTTCAAAACTCGACAAATGTGACTTTTGACAGTTGGTTAGGAGAGCGGAGTGAATTGGGGCGTGTGTGAGCGTTAGGTGTGTGGCAAGTGTGTTTGGTGTGGTGGTAGGGTTCTTGACGCTGGGTGGTACTTACAAGTGGGAGTTTATGGGACTGTGAAAACCATCGTTAGTGTGTGTGTCTGTGTGTGTGAGTCTGCTCTCGTTGGAGTTTGTTGGAGTTGCAAGAGTGACCAGAGCCGCATGAGCAAGGAATTACGTGTGGAACTGAATTGCTGACCAAGTTGCTCCTAGTCTCATCCCACTGATGGAGCTAATTGGGGGGCAGGGGGAGAATGAGAGCCTTCTGATTTGTCATTAAAGAAGTCCGTGTTGTGAAAATCTTTGAATCTCGTTGCACTCGAGAATTTGTAAGTGGAAATTCTTCGACGACAATGGACAAGGAGAGATAATGGGATAGATCACCAGCTGAACTCTTCGGAGAGAAGTTTCTACGATCTTCCTACAAGAAGTTGAAGACCCGGACACTAACGGATGTTGTGTCACACCCTTGGTCTTCTGTAGGTGGGAATTATACGGTCGGAGTGAGGGGAAGGCTTCTTCTCAGTGATTACTCATTTGATCACTGTAAAAGCTATCTAAGCATAGCACATTTTGGATGGAGGAACATCTATGGTCAAACGTCCATAGTCTCCAGTAGGTCAGAGGCTGAGAAACTTCATGCATTTTTGTGCCTGAGCAGCTAACTCCCTCAGCGAACGCAAAGAGATTAGACGTCTCACTTTCAATCCGACGTCTTGATTCACAAATTATCGCTAGTTAATTTGGAGCCTGACGTACGAACACTTGTGTGCCACATTTTGTGACGTATCCATGTATTGAACATGTGCTGGGTACGAGCATCAGTACAGTTCTGTGGAGAAAGGAGGTCCCCCGGAAAATTGTAATGAAAGTGCTAGACTGCGTCAACTGCTTCGATTTCTGCGGATACCATATGGTAGAGTAGTGTTACTGCTACTGGGTAGAGTTTGTGAAAGCGAGAATAATAAATTGAAGGGTCATTCCTCTTCGAGAAACTCAACAACTTTGTTCGAGTACGGAACAAGGCCCTCCTTGTATAGTTGCATCATTCTTAGCTACGTTCGGGGTGCATCCTCCGTGGCCTGCGTATTCTAGATAGATATGCTGGACAGTTTATTCCGGAAAATCTGCTGCTGGCTTCACGAAATTTGTTTATTGATCACTTTGTAAGTGAGAACAATGCTCATGATTCTGAAAGTTCGCTATTTAAATTGACGGCAGACACTCCGCAGTACTCTCGAATAGAGGTTTTGCTAGGGTGGCCATTTTATTGTAGGCCGAAGTGAGGTACATATTTAGTTTTTGAAGTGGTAATAAATTTGACAGAATGAGGGACAGGTTGGGTGGAACCATTGCCTTCTGTTTTCGAGTCATCACAATCGTCTTGTTCTTGTTGCAACGGACCCTGTCAGTCGCAATTTACGATGAGCGCCTCGCCCTCATAGCTTTGAAAGCAACAATAGATGATCCTGAATCGCACCTGGCCGACTGGGAAGTGAATGGAACATCTTCTCCGTGCCTGTGGACAGGTGTTGATTGTAACAATTCATCGTCGGTTGTGGGCTTGTATCTGTCCGGTATGAATCTCTCAGGAACAATATCTTCTGAGTTGGGAAATCTGAAGAACCTGGTCAACTTATCCCTTGATCGCAACAACTTCACAGAAGACTTGCCTGCTGATATTGTAACACTTACTCAATTAAAGTACTTGAATGTTTCGACCAACAGCTTCGGTGGTGCCCTTCCTTCAAACTTCTCGCAGCTTCAACTTCTGCAGGTAAGTTCTACTTCAGGTTTATTGCTAAAATTCTTGACCTGATAACTTGTCTGAAGCCCATCGTCTGGTCTGAATTTCGAAACGATGTTTTGGTCTTCCAGGTCCTGGATTGTTTCAACAACTTCTTCTCAGGACCATTGCCACCAGACTTATGGAAAATTTCCACCCTTGAACACGTAAGTCTGGGAGGAAATTACTTTGAGGGCAGCATACCTCCCGAGTATGGAAAATTTCCAAACCTCAAGTACTTCGGCTTGAACGGAAACTCTCTTACTGGGCCCATTCCGGCTGAGCTAGGCAATCTTACAGGTACCCTCACCCAATTGAAATGGTCTTATCGCCAATGATTGCTGGCATTCCTTGAGGAACCATGACAGGGTGTCTACACTTGTTTTATCGAACATTGATGTAAATCAACAGGACGGCAATGGAACCACATCATGTGCTGTGGATTAAATATTGTTTCACATTCCGTTTCGGAGACTCATGCTTCCGTTGTGTTGCAGGTCTACAAGAGCTTTACATGGGCTATTATAACAACTTCAGTTCGAGCATCCCAGCCACTTTTGGCAATCTCACAAATTTGGTCCGTCTTGACATGGCCAGTTGTGGCCTGGTTGGAGCAATCCCACATGAGCTAGGAAACTTGGGACAGCTTGATACCCTTTTTTTAATGTTGAATTCACTGGAGGGACCAATACCAGCCTCCCTAGGTAATCTTGTCAATCTGCGGTCTCTAGACCTCTCCTACAACAGACTGACAGGCATTCTACCCAACACTTTAATTTATCTCCAGAAACTTGAACTAATGAGCTTGATGAACAATCATCTCGAGGGCACCGTGCCAGATTTTTTGGCAGATCTTCCCAATTTGGAGGTCAGTGTAGTATTTTCTCTGAAGTTCTCATCGTCATCGCATCCATCTCATTTGTTGTCAGGCCCAAAATAAAGTATAAGGTTTCATTATTGTTAGATCTTGAAACACAGCTCGAGAACTCTAATTCTCTTGAATGTAAGAAACTGCTAAATCATTAAATAATTAGAAAACCCAAGGACGACAAACCCAAACCTTTACATATTATTTCTTATAGCACTGTTGTTTAATTTTATTTTTTCTTAATGTGTAGTACATCCTCTGAATCCAATGCCGGCGTTATTCCAGGTCTTGTATTTATGGAAGAATCAGTTGACAGGGCCGATCCCAGAAAACCTCGGCCAAAACATGAACCTTACTTTGCTGGATCTATCCTCAAACCACCTAAACGGCTCAATTCCTCCAGATCTCTGTGCAGGCCAGAAACTTCAATGGGTTATTCTATTGGAAAATCAACTAACTGGGTCGATCCCAGAGAGCCTCGGGCACTGTCAAAGTCTCACAAAACTAAGACTTGGTATTAATTCTCTGAATGGATCAATCCCTCAGGGCCTCTTAGGCCTTCCCCTGCTAGCAATGGTAGAGATCCAGGATAATCAAGTCAATGGTCCCATACCATCGGAGATCATCAATGCTCCCTTGCTTAGCTACCTCGACTTTTCCAAGAACAACCTTTCAAGCAGCATACCTGAAAGCATCGGCAACCTTCCTAGCATTATGTCCTTCTTCATTTCTGACAATCATTTTACAGGACCCATTCCACCGCAGATCTGTGACATGCCAAACCTCAACAAACTTGACATGAGCGGGAACAATTTATCAGGTCAGGATACCGAACGCTTAAACTGCACAAGGCGTTATTCCTTCTTGGTTTGTGTTCCTGTTGGTGGACACGCATGATCTGTGTCCACCAGTATATATATGTTGTGGTGCGTATCACTTCTTGAATTAAAAATTAATCTGTTATTTGCGTTACAGGTTCCATTCCAGCTGAGATGTCAAATTGCAAGAAGTTGGGGTTGCTGGATGTAAGTCACAACAGCCTCACTGGAGTTATCCCTGTTCAAATGCAGTTTATTCCGGATCTTTACTACTTAAATCTCTCTCACAATGAACTTTCGGGAGCCATTCCCTCGAAGTTGGCGGATCTCCCAACGCTGAGCATCTTCGACTTCTCCTACAACAACCTCTCTGGTCCTATCCCTCTTTTTGACTCTTATAATGCGACTGCATTTGAGGGAAATCCGGGTTTATGTGGAGCGTTACTTCCACGGGCATGTCCTGATACGGGAACTGGGAGCCCAAGTCTTTCGCACCACCGCAAGGGTGGAGTGTCTAATTTGCTAGCCTGGCTGGTTGGGGCCCTGTTTTCGGCCGCAATGATGGTGCTCCTTGTAGGAATTTGCTGTTTCATCCGCAAGTACCGATGGCATATTTACAAGTATTTCCATCGAGAATCGATCAGTACAAGGGCGTGGAAATTAACTGCCTTTCAACGTTTAGACTTCTCAGCTCCACAGGTACACCCGAACGCAACTCCAAAATCTGCTTAACATGTTCTTTCTATGTCTTATGTTATAACATATGGCATAATCAGTACGTCAACACACATTTTCGCGAACAGCGCGTTCTGCAAGTCCCAAAGAACTGTCAAAACAACCAATAAAGCTCAGAATTTAGCATATTTGTCCGCGCAGGCTGATCTGGCCAGTTAATTTTTGAGAAATTCTCGAAAACCAGTGATCAGTCAACATTTTGTCTCCGGTAACTACCACTTCATTCATCTCAGCCTGGGAATGCGACACTGTGAATGGATGCAGTCCAAGTTCCAGCTGTAATCAATCAATTCATCTCTGAACTTTAAATCTCAATCTTCTTTCCACCTCAGCTATTGGTTGCTCTGTTCTCATCGAAAAACCATGGCATCGTCAAGGATGTTTTGTTGAGCATGATTTTGTTTTCAGGTACTTGACTGCTTGGACGAACACAACATCATTGGTAGGGGCGGCGCGGGAACTGTATACAGAGGTGTCATGCCGAGTGGAGAAATAGTGGCTGTCAAGAGGCTTGCAGGAGAAGGCAAGGGTGCCGCACACGACCATGGATTTTCAGCGGAGATCCAGACTCTAGGGAAAATTCGTCACCGTAATATTGTGCGACTCCTAGGCTGCTGTTCAAACCATGAGACCAACCTATTGGTTTACGAGTATATGCCTAATGGAAGCCTTGGCGAGCTTCTTCATAGCAAAGATCCATCTGTCAACCTGGACTGGGATACCAGGTGCCATTTCTACTAGTGAATGTCTGACTTATCAAAAATCACGATAAAAGTTTTGCTTCAAAATCATAGGAAGAGTCTTACGATATTCTTTGAAAGCGTCGGAACGACATATTCGATTGATTTCCTCACTATGAGCGACGTAGCTCACACTTATTGCACATCTTCTCACGATTACTACGAAATTTTTGTCGGCAGATACAACATCGCAATCCAGGCTGCACATGGTCTTTGTTACTTGCATCATGACTGTTCTCCATTGATAGTTCACCGTGATGTCAAGTCGAACAATATATTACTGGACTCTACTTTCCATGCTCGTGTCGCAGACTTCGGCCTTGCAAAGTTGTTTCAGGACACTGGCATTTCAGAATCCATGTCGTCCATTGCTGGCTCCTACGGTTACATCGCGCCTGGTAAATTTCCTGCTCCAACGCACATTCTAATGCTGTTTATCAGGCCTTCTCACTTAAAATTTGACTGCGCCATTGGCAAATCAGGTGCCTAACATGATCTAGCATTCTGACTTTCGTTGGAATATGGTTCTTGTAAACTCATAATGCATGGTGAGGATTCTTTTTGTGCACTTAACTGCTCACTCTTGTCCTTGTATCCCCTCAGAATATGCTTACACATTGAAGGTAAACGAGAAAAGTGACATTTACAGCTTCGGGGTTGTTCTCATGGAGCTACTAACCGGGAAGAGGCCCATTGAGAGCGAGTTTGGCGACGGGGTAGATATTGTGCAATGGGTTCGACGAAAAATACAAACAAAAGATGGAGTGCTGGACTTGCTGGACCCAAGGATGGGAGGTGCAGGTGTTCCACTTCAGGTGTGGCAACATATCACCTCCAATGGGATTATTCATTTCTCGTGTTTCACCGTCATGAACTTGGCACACATCACGTGTTCTGTCCATCTTTGATTTGTTCAATTTTTCATGTTGACTAAGTTTGATAGTCGTGCTGAAACACCCACATAAACTCAGTGTAGTCGTCATTGTTTGAGGGAACAAATGGAGCTCATTCACTGTGTTGATTGTTCAGGAGGTTGTATTGGTCCTGAGAGTGGCGCTACTATGTTCAAGCGATTTGCCCATCGACCGGCCGACAATGCGGGATGTAGTGCAGATGCTGTCAGACGTCAAACCGAAGAAGAAAGGGAGCAGCCTTGGGGATTCTCGGGAGCTTTCAGCTCTTGTAGGCATGAAGGACGAGGATCTTCACCAGGTTCTTGTGTGTGTGTGAACCTCTATCAATCGCTGAACGTTAAGATTCAATCAGGCTCAAAAAGAGGAGACTTCTAGTTAGATGAATTATACTTATCTCCATTCGAACTTAAAAAGATTGGATTGTATGGATAGTTTACCCTGAGATTTGTAATATGGAACATTAGCCTCGATTAAGTGTATTCGTTCCTGATCCACACAGCTTCAGAAAAAGTTAAGATCTTTCTTTGGGCACCTCTTAAATACAAGTGTATTTATGAGTACATTATAAAGCCAGGGCAATAGATTATCGCATCGTCTCCAGGAGTTGCGGCACCCAAATGATCATGAGATGGAAAAGATTATAACCTGATGATTATTTAAACTAGCATCCGATCGCCCTGCACAGTTTTTCTCAACAGTTAAAATACCACGATGGGAAGAATACTCCAGTTTACTCCCACTAATTCGACCTTGTAAAAAAATATTTTCTCAAATATATATATTTTTTAATTTTGATAAAATTAGAACCTGAATCCCAACATAGGACAACATCTTAAATGACATCTAATTGTAAAATTGCATATCCGCTGTGATGTTGAAACATCTTATATTCATAAACAACTGGTGCTTCTAAATGATATCGTTTATGGATGGATTTTAAAATTAAATAACTCAAAGATTGATGTATAATTACATACTTTGATCTTTAGGTTTGCTGAATGGTGGAGTTATAACAATTTATCAACTGCCAGTGGGTCAGGAGATGTTGTAGTGTCATCAATGGCTCTTGTATATTAGTAGTATTTTCTGCAACCCTTTCAAAAAAACATATTCAGACGTTGTTGATGGTGATGAATATACATTAAAACAAAAACAAAGGTAATTCATCAAGGGGACGAAAATCATCTCATCATAATTACAACTTGTTGTAATACAAAAATAATGTAAAATAATGTAGAAAGTTAAAAAAATAACAAGATTGAGGCCCTCCTTAGTCTTGTCAACTCATCTCTTGGATTAGTTTCTTGACATTAATCATATGTTATTGTCTTCTTAGTTATTCTTTCTTTTAAATACATATTTTAGTTTTCATTGGTTGAAACCATTGATCCTTGATTGAAGTTTTAAGCATATCCTTGACATATATGCACTTACAATTCTAAAAAAGTAAATTATAAAAGTACATAAATAAATATTAAAAAAAATATTGTACAAAATAAAAAGATTTTTTTAAAAAAATCTAATAGTTAGTATCTAGTTTATTACTTACTTTGTGCTTTAATTGTGATTTAAGACTTTTTAATTATTTGAATTTGAAAATAGAAATTCTAGTATATTTTTATTTTATAAAAATACCTTGTCTTAATTTTGTTCTTTTAGAGTTGTTGATGAGTACACTATAAACTCATTTTTATCCTTATCTTTAAAAACTTTACATAAAAAATAAAAATATCTAAAAAAAATATTTATAAAGTTTTAGAAAATAATAAAAAATAATTTTTATTAGAAATTTATATCACTAATAAAAATAATAAATAAATAAATAAATAAAATTTTAAAAATAAAAATAAATATAATTTATATTATAATTTATATATTTTTAATTTTTTGACAGTAATAATATATATATATATATATATATATATATTACTTATTTTAAATTAAAAATATATTACTAATATATTTATAAATACATATATTTTTTTGTATTAATGATTATCATAAACTTAATTTTCTTTCAAAGATATTAAAAACATGGATTTTAACCAAATATTTAAATTTTAATATAATTTTTTACAATCAAGATATTATAATAAATTATCTTTTATTTCTATTATATATTTTTAAAACTTTTTATTTTTACTACTTGCAAGCCTAAATGTTTAGAGTCCAAGCCTCCCATGTCTTGCAATACAAGCTAGTACATGACTTGTCGGCTAAGTCTCAAGAAGCCCCTTAAGAATCTTTCTTAAAAGACTTATGGTTCAAGCCATATTATGCAGCTTGATTTCTAAGTGATTCTAGAAGCTTTCTAAAAAACTACCTAATATACCTTATCTTCTAAGATACCTATTACATATATTTATTAAGTTCTTAGAATATTTTAGAAAGATATTTGTAATACAAAAGATTCACAGAAGGTTCTAAAATCTTCTTTCTATATCTATAACATCACTTCACTTCTTATTGACAAGTTTGACGAAAAACTTTGGTGTTATAATTTTTACATTTGCAAAAATTCTAACATTTAGTTGAAGAACTCTTGTTATAAATGCAACTATTTGATCACTTCTTATTAGATGAATAGATCCTTTTATCCAATCTATAGCCAATACTTCTTGAAGTCAAAGAATATAAATAAATGACTTAATATAAATTAAGATCTTCAAAAATTATATGTCAATTTCATAGTTTAACAACTTCTAACTTACAATACTATAAGCAATGTTTAAGCATCTTCTTTAAGAATTATGTGCCAAATTTGATCATATCAAGGACATACTTGAAATTTAGATAGTCTAACTTCACCTCAAACACACCTTTGAGATGGTGATTGCTATGATAGTTGATGTGATTGATTTTTCAATAAAAATTCAAACTCAAAATCTTTAAGTTATATAAAAAAAATTCCAATTTGACCAATTGGAGTTGCAAAAAAATAATGTCAAAACACAACTTAAAAATTAAAAAATTAAAAATAGACTATAGCAAACTAATAATATTATTGATAGAATTCTTTTATTTTATTTTTGATTTAATGCTGAAGTTTCTTCTTAAAGTCTTTTTTAGTGATTTCACAACCATCAATTTCTTGTCTTGGATTTGTAAGGATAAATACAATGAAAGTCTAATATCTTCAATAGGGCATTAATGATATTAAACAAAGGTTATTGGCATTGTTCATTGATGTCATGACCCTTCTTGTATATGAGGTATTTTAATAAAACATTTTTTATTTGTAAATTAAGAATTTTCTCTTATTCATCTTTATCATCAATTTTATGTTTAACTTTATAACTATCTTCATTATTAATTTCAATTGAAGGTAGAGATAGAAGATTTTTTTCTTGGAATTTTTGATTGAAAATTTAAAATAAAAAACATGAAAGATTTAATGGATTTTCATAGTTTCTAGAAGTTTGAGACAATAAATAACCAAATTAATTTATTGTATGATCTCAAATAGTTTTAAATTTTAATAGTTCAACTTTTTAGATAGTTTCTTTGTTTGATTTTTGTTTTAAAAGAAATAATTAATTTTTAATTTCAAAAGCTAATTTAGCTCTATGAAGGCAATTTTCATAATTTTTGTATTAATCTTGAGCTTTTTATAGTTAAAATATCATCTTGTATGAATTTTTGTAAGATATATAGCCAATATTTTAGTTGTAGGGCTTGCAAAAATCTTCACTTCAAATAGATCAATTTTAGGATGACTTTTGTAATTTGCAAAGAATGATATTTGCTTGGTTTCCAAATGTATAGTATTATTATAAGCAAACTTTGCAAGATGCAGCAACTTGGTCTAATTATCTTACTTATAATTTATGTTGCAATAAAGATATTTTTCAAAATTTATATATATATATATATATATATATATATATATTTATTTTGAATCATCAATTTGTAAATGATATGCCAAAGAAAATTTGATCTTAACTTTCAAAATTTAAAATAATTACCTTCAAAAATAAAAATAAATTATATATTTTGATATTATACAATATAAATCAAAATTTCATGAATTCAATGAATACTTTCATATACAATAGAAATTTAAAATTTTAAAATTTTTTATTTAAGTTTTAAAAAAAAATTATTTTAAATTTTTTTATTTATTTTAAAATTTTATTTATAATATAGAATAAATTTTATTTTTAATATTATTGATAAATATAACATACAATAAATGATTCATGAAAATTAAATTATTATTATTTTTATTTATTTTATTATATTTTTTAATTTTTTAAATAGAATTATACTAAAATATCTTAAAAGATAATATAATACTTAGAGATTGAAATATTATTATATTTTTATCTATTAATTTTATTGTGAGTAAATTAATATTTTGAATATTGAAGTAATAATTTGTATATATATTATTTTATAATGGTGTATTTTATAAGTGAAAAGGTTGAACTTAGAATTGGTGAAATCTTAGGAATTTCAAAGCATGAATTTCATGAAGTTATTATTGATATAACAAAGAAAACACAAAAATCTATAAGAGATAATATGACATCAAATGCATAAAAAATAAGAGCAATGGAAAGCAATGAAGATAAAGAAGATGAAATACAATTTTTTAGAGATGTCCTACAAGTAAGATTTATAGAAAAAGAAGATATGATTCAAGCTTCTAGTCATTATTTTCAAAGTCATTGGACAAGAGCTACTATGAAAACTTTGGTAAAATTGGAAGATTTTAAAAAACCAAATATAGCATTTATTGATTACGGTTTTGAAATTAATTTTATATCAAAAGAATTGTATGAAAGAGGAATTTTTTTATTGATATTGAACATGGGTAGATGATAAGAGTAACAAACAACTCAAAAGAAGATTTATATCAAGCTTGTCTAAATATCAAGGTGACAATAGGAGATGCTATTCATGAATAAAATTTCTTTGTGCAAGATATATCTACATATCTTATTATATTGAGAAAATCATATATTATTGCTACACAAATATAAACAAAGATTTTGGATAATGATTCGGCCTATATAAAGATAAGAAGTCAATATAGAAAGAAGGCAATGCAATTTTTAATGATTTGTATAAATTTTGAAAGAAATCAAGATAGTTTTAGAGAGCATCCTTTGCCAAGGATATATAAAGAATTTGAAGATCTTAATGACTTAAAGGATATTTATTAGAGGCCATTGTAAAGTGGAGTTACAATAATAGAAAAGGATAATGGATTTTTTTCTAATAGAAGAAATAAGGCTATTATAGGATTATGAAGGGACGGATATATTTTATTCCAAAATATATATGGATAATTTGACAAGAATAAAAAAGAAAAAATATCAAAAATATGGAACATGAATTGAAAAAATGTAGAGCAATTGATGAAGATCAATGCATATTAGGGATGTTTAAAGAAGCTTACTTTAGTGATACTATGGATAATTTGTAAATGTTATTGGATTTAGATTTTGAAGGTAGTAATAAGGTAATAAATGTCCATTATAAGAAATTTTATGATAGTATAAAAGAATATGTAGATAAGTATAAAGTGAAGGTGAACAAAAAATATAAAATTATTGCAAAGAAGATTAAACTAGTAGCATTGCTATTACCATCAGATTTTGATAAAAGGATTGAAAAGACTTTTGTGTGATCTAATTAAAGATATCCAAAAAATAAGTC